GCCGTTTCCCACCTTGACTTCACTTTAGCTTAGTGATTTCGGGGTCCTGAGATGTATTTTCACTTCACACTTCTGAACACACTGGCACTCTAAACAGTGTTGTAGGAGGCGTTCTAACTGATTTAGAAGAAGAAACTATTTGGAAGGACTTGAGCACCTTCTTCCTTGAGAGAAACAAGCCTTTGTTTATTTGCCCCGAGACTGTTAGGCTGCCGGCATGGGTGGCCTTAGAAAGCTGTGCCTCTCTGAGCGCCTGCCTGTGGAATCTGGTGACTTTGAGGTTAATCCAGCAGCTACATGTTTTTGAAAGCAGATTGTCTCTTAAAGTGTTGACTATGATTCTAACACCAGAATTTCAATGTGTATTTTCCACCCTTCTTACTTTGTCTCCTCATACCCTGAGATGTTGCTGCATTTGCCCTTAGGCTTCATTGAGGGGAGGGTCAGTTCTGGCCCTTTCTTTAGGTATTGATCTTGAATGGACAGAATCGAGATTCTGAAAAACCTTTGAGCTGTGAGAGTGTGCTGGTATCTATGTCAGTGGAATTCATGTGTTAAACTCAGTAATAGTTTAAGAAATATCAATCCTAGGCTGGGCATAGTGGCTCACACCTTTAATCCCAGCACCTTGAGAGGTTGAGGTGAGCAAATTCAGTTTTGAGCCCAGGAGTTTGAGACCAGCCTGGGCAACATAGCAAGACCCTGACACTACAAAAAATTAAATAGTGGTGGTGTGCACCTGTGGTCCCAGCCACTCAGGAGGTTGAGGCTGCAGTGAATCGTGATAGCACCACTGTACTTACGGTGCACTGTGCCTGAGTGACAGAACGAGAACCCCTGCCACCACACACACACACAGACGTCTCCCCACACACACATCCCCACACACACACGTCCCCACACACACACATCCCCATACACACATACACAAAGTATCAATTCTAAATGGACAAAAATGAGACCTTTTAAGTGGAAAAACATCCTGTTTGGTTGCTCTACTTGGGTAACTGTTGACTCTTTTGCCAGTAAGAAAATGCAGCGGCCAGGTCTGCTGGGACCACCTGTTAAGGCTACTCTGGGCCTCATGGTTTGAGAACGGTCTGTCCAGAGGAGAGTGGGAGTGGCTTAAGGCCTAGAAGCCAGTTCTTGTGGTTCAGCGTGACTGAGGGTGTGGAGCTGGGGGCAAGGATCTTCAGGGCATGAGAGGGTAAATGGATGGGCTTCCGGGATGAGCCCCGGTGACTTTGCCTGGTTTACATCCATCCAATACAAATCCACAGGCTCTTACTCTAGAAGCTTCTGCCGGGGCTGATGGACTGGTCTGGGGACAGAGGGTGCCTTCTGGTTTAGGAAGAGCACTTAGTCACCTAGATCTAGGACTTATGGCACTACAGGGGACTCATCACACTCGGAGCAGCAGCCATCTGCATTCTAGACTTGGTTCTAGGCAAAGTATTTTGGAGCCTGTTGGAACCCTGTGTTCTGTTTATCTGTAAAACAAGTTAGAGTTGTAAATAGCTAAAACCTATTTTTAAAATTTTGTCACAGAATATGGCAGTTGTGGTGGAGCCTGGCCAGAGACCCCCACACTCGGACACTGCCGCGTGCTGGGGTTGCAAGCGTTGCCTTCATCGGCTGCCTCTCCTGGCGTGTCTGTGTTCTTGACACGGGTGCCCATCGAGGTGCGGCCTGTGGGACTCGTGCAGCCATTTGTCTGTGTTCCTCTGAGGTTCCTCAGATTTCACGGTCCCGTGGCAGAGCGTACAGTATCTGCTTGCATCCTGATTTCCCCAAACCCCAGGACAGGCCAAGAATTCCTTACACACAGCTGCAGAGGGCCCCGGGGTGTGGATTTGTGGGTGACGCAGCCTTTCCCCAGCTCGGCCTTCATCTCCAGAGTTGGCTTTAGGGTGACAGAAGCTTCCGTCAGACTGGGGGGCCCTGAAGCTTTGGTGGTAGGAACTGGGTGACCAGCACGGATGATACCCGATTTCTTTGCATTTGGAGCAATAGTTGCTAATATGACCTATGAAATGTACAGAGGAAGGAAAAAAGGAGGTTTTGTTTTCAGAGTAAGTCTGTGCTTTGGGAAATGTGGTCTCGGGGGAGCTGTAAGCACACATCCTTCAGGAAGGGGGAGGCCGCGGCGTTAAACCTTCCGGTTTTTGTTTGCTGTGTGTGTTCATCGGGCTCATGGAATGTCTGAACGTTTACAGGGAAAGTGGGGTTTCTTCATCCGGTTCGTGGAATGTCTGAACACTTACAGGGAAAGTCTAGCACATGCGCAGTGAGTTAACCGTAACATCCATGTTCGCCTTGGGGCTAGTGTAACATTTGAAATGAGGCGGACTCAGCGTGTCATGTACAAAGGTGAGTTGTTGGGCACAGACGTTTATGCGCAGCCTCAATCACAGCCAGGACTGGCTCAGAGTCTGCGGTTTCTGGCGGGAAAGGACACTCACGAGGCCATTCTCTCCAGTTGGGGCTGCCGTCAGGGTCCCAGGGTGGGGCTGTCTGGTTGGCTGGCGTCGGAAGTCCACCCAGGTCCCGTGGGCAGCATTCCTCTAAACCAGGCTTCTGTCTGATGGCGGAGGAGACTTCAGGCTGGTTAACAAACTGCAAAGGAGTTAGTGTCGTGGGGCTTCGAGGCTGACCTTCCTCTCTGTGATGCCGATTACATTTTTCTCTGGGCCTCATTGTAGCCACAGAGAATCCACCTCGTCTGACAGCAGGGGGTGCCATGTTGACATAGTAATTTATTGTATTAACCTTTTTATTACTATTTTAATAAAAGACTTTTTTTACTTTTTAAAGTGATAGGGTCTTGTGTTGCCCAGGCTAGTCTTGAACTGGTCTCAAGCAGTCCTCCCATCTCAGCCTCCCAAAGTGCTGGGCTTACGGTCGTGAGCCACTGCGCCCAGCCTACAGCCAGGTTTTTAAAAGTCGGCAATTTAAAAACACTGCTCCTTTCACCCCTCAAGCAGGCTGGTTGGCCTTGTACAAACTGGGGTGTCAGGACCTTGGTCCCCCTTTTATTTTTCCCTTTCTTCGGCCTCAAGTTCTGATGGAATCAGCAGTTACAAAGTGGGCCTTAGTTGAGTCTTCCGTTACTGAACCCAGAATTCTCACTAGTTAGAGACGTTTGTCCCCAGGATCCCAGAAAGCTGTTTGGAATCAAGCCTATGGCAAATAAGTAAGGAACCTAAAGCCTTGGTCCTCTGCTTAGTATCTGGGAAATGTGTTATTGCTCACACCCTTTGATCTGTGCTCACGTGCTGCATCTCGTCACGGGAAGCAGAGTCACCCTGTGGAATAAAGCCTGGCTTACGGTGGCACGTGGGGATGCTCCGGTCTGTCAATCCCTTAGACGGCGGCAGACGTGGAGACTCAGCATTGCATGCAGAGCCTGGGCAACCAGGGTGCATCCTCCTTAGAGACCACACAGCCGGTCAGCAAGGTGGACATCCAGGCAGATGGTCCTGATGGGCTCGCCGCACGGTGGTGAAAAGGAATTGGTTAGCAAAGAAATGAAACTCGCTTGTGGGTCCCAGCTACTTGGAAGGCTGAGGCGGGAGGATTGCTTCAGCCAGAAGGTCAAGGCCACGATGAGTCATGACTGTAATACTGCACTCTGGCCTGGGTGACAGAGCAAGACTCCGACTCAAAACATAAAAGGAAAGCAAGCTAAACCCTTACTCTCCATAGCAGGAGGGAGAATTTATCAAAGTAACTGAAACAAAAATCTTAGATGATGTAATTTCAGTGGCTAAATGAGCTGTCCAGCCCACGTAGCTGGCTCACAACGCAACAGAGCCAGGTGCTGCTGCAGCTGGCCTCCCACCCGATCGCTTGTGGACATTTTCTGTTTTCCCATATCTCTTTTGGATACGTAGCTCCCTCCTTTATAGTTAAGTATCAGTAAAATAGGTTGTCTATTTTGACACCTAATTATGGTGTCTTTTAAGGAAAGAAAATGAAGCAGATGAGAGGAGCATGTAGGTGTGGTGAATAGATTTAGATGAATATTTAGTACTTGGCACCACTCTGATCCCTCCTTCTTCTCTCATGCTTCATTACAGCTGCCGCCTCCCAGCACAGAACACTTTCAGCTCTGTGAGTAGGAATTAGATTTTCTAAATCAGAAGTTTGAGTTAAGCGGTATTTTACATGAATGACCAGTCCCTAAGTGTTCTCTGTACTGGTGTGTGGTATAGAGGAAGGAACGGGGGCTTGGGGCAGGGTCTATGGTGCAGTGTCCTGGTTCCCATCTGTTGAGATGAGGGCCATGAGATGGCCTAGAAGGTTCAGACTGTGGAGATTGAATGGATCTGCCCACTCCTGGGAAGCCTCGAGTCTAACTCGACTTGGGCTGGTTTTAGGGAGATGTCGGCAGTGCTGTCCTCACGGGTCACTGGCAGGGGCTCTGGCACCATCCCCGTCAGGTGTCTCATGATCAGCCCAGCTTGCCCATCTTAGAAGCTGCTGGTCGTGTTCTCGTTCCTGTTGTTTGTTGCTTAGGTTCTGTTCATGTGGAGACCTAGGAAGTTCCACAGTGAGAGGAGAGCTGCTGAGCCGCCTTCCTGCCTGGACGCCAGCCCCACAGAGGACCGTGACTGCTTGAGGTTGGCTTCTGCCCCCGGCGTCACCTGTGGACGCAGTGGTAGTTTCTAAGCTCCTGGGGCACACAGCGCGGTTGTGTGGATCCACAGGACACTCTGGCGTTCAAGCTCGTGCCTCCCGGAGGAGAGGACCCTGTGGGCGCTGATGCTGGGAGCTGGCCGAGAGTCCAGTGCGTAAGACTCCCTGTGACGTGCACAGCTGCCATCTGCGCAGCCCCTCCTGATACCAAGATGGTCGTGCGATAAACGCACAAAGCGCATCTCCTGCAAAAGGCCGCAGAGTTTCCACATCCAGGATATCCACCACGGTGGCTTTTTGGTGTTAATACAATGAATGTGAGCAGCAGGTGGCCTGCGTTCTGGGGGGGTGTGACGGTGCCACTGCAGTTTTGTTCTCATGTCTTGATGAGCATGAACGGCTCCTGACGAGGGTGAGTAAGGATGCTGTGACCGGAGACTCTGCGGGATTGTAGCTTCAGGAGCAAAGGAGGTTTTCTCTCTTGCAAACCCTTCAGGGAGGAAGTTCCAGGCTGGTGACTACTCCATGAGGTATTTGGGGATCCAAGTTCCTTCCAGACCCCTGTTTTGCGTTCCCAAGGACACGGCTGTCCTTGCTGTGGTTGGGACTGGGTGAGTGCCACGCTGGCAGAGTGGGGGGTGGGGGTGAGGCTTAGGGTGAGAGTGGCCATGATTTGCCTAATCTACAAAATGACAGGGAGCTGGGAGTAAAGTGTAGCCATGGTCTGGAGGACGGATGTGGGTGAAGGACTGGCTGCACTCACCGCAGCTGGCCCAGGGATGGGGAAGGATGGCTGATCATGCCACTCAACGGTGCCTGGTTCTTTCAGATTTGACCTTCTTATGGATTTTCTGCTATAAAGAGGAGAGAGCCTGTGGTTCTAGGCCAAGCATCTCACTCATCTCAATACATCTTATGTCCCTTAGCCAACATTTATGTCAAGTTTTAGAAGTCCTACAAACTGGCAAGCATTTCTCAATCTGGTTTAACCATTGGATTTTATATCTGTGTCTGCATCTCTATTTACATCTATGTGGTTATTTGACACTCTGTAGTACATTTGTAATAGGTTCTATTCGTTGGAAGTTACTTTCAGCAAACCCTTGCTGCTGCTAGAATTTTCAAGGTTGCAAGTAGAAAGGAGAGAATAAAAACCACATCTTCTCTAATTTTAAAATGTGTTGTTCCTCAAATCACACCAGAAGTACAAATATTACAAATTACAAAAGCAGCCAGAATTAAGAGATTTCTGGGTGATTCTGGCTAATCAGCAGTATTTGCTGAGGTGTGTGAAGCAGAGCAACACACCAAGAAGCCCTGGATGGGGGAGAGTTGGGAGGCCAGGCTGTGACTCCAGAGGTGCTGTTGCCTCAGGGAGAGGAGCTAGATGCAGAGAGGATAAATGGCCGCAGGTGCGACCACCGCCGTCCTTGCTGTGGTAGGGGGGCCTTTGTACGGGGGCGTTTGTATGGGGGCCTTTGTATGGGGTCCTTTGTGAGCTGGGTTATGAACCAGGTGAAGGTCGTGCAGGCGTCAGAGAATCGAGGCCAGACATGACGGGTGGAGGCTTGGTGGAGGTGAGGAGCCAGACAGCCTCGCTAAATGTGCGGTGGCTCACTGCAGACAGCGTCCATCAGTCGCTAGACAGGCTTGATCTTCAGCCCCTACGACAGCTGCCTTTATCCTGTCTGCCTCCACCTTCTGAGGCCTATAGGCATCTCAAATGTGTGTTTCTTAAACAGATTTGGATGAGTTGCTTTCTGCATAACACACCTGGACAGACGGAGGCTGGTTCTCCACAATGGCACCAGGGACTTGGCGGAGAGTGGCGGGACAGAGGCACAGCACCAGCTCCCTGGGAGAAGGCAGTGCCTGTGGGATGGAGGAAAGAAGAGGCACACAGTGCTGAGGTGTGAACTCTAGTTTGCTCTTAGACATGACACACATGCTTTCTGGAGGTTTCCACGAAGCACCGTTAAAGCCACCAGTGTGGACAGGTCCTAAGATCAGGAGACCCAGAACATACGTGTATTTGAAATCCTTCATGTGCTGCAATCTCTTCAAAGAGGACCACAAGTCATCTCTAATAATGTTGTCAAATTAATTTTTGAATAAGTGCCATGGCTTTTTTTTTTTTTTTTTTTTTTGTGGGGTAGGGCTGGTCTGTGACAGTAAAACAGATGCAGTGGCACAGCTGGTGGGTGTTGGTTCTGGGCCCCAGTTAGGCAGTTGTATGAAAACAAACCAAAAAGTCTCCACAGTGGTATGAACTGAAACACCTGGATTACGTGTTTTCATGTATTTAACATAAATGCACACATTTGTATTCTAAACACACATTTTTCTATATGTAATAAAATTCACACCTTTAAGTATTTAGCATAGAAACAGCTGTGCAGCAACTTCTCCATGCCCGCAGACACCCAGATGTTCTGAGTGGAAACCGCACTGCTGTGGACTTTGTGAGTGGTGAGCCGTGCACAGATATGTGCTGTGTTTGCTGTGTCCGCTGACGCAAGCCCTGGTCAGTCCTGTTTCAGGTGGATGTTTTCCCTTGTAGTTCCCTTCTCTTGTTCTGTTTGTAAGTTCAGTAAACTCGGGACCAATGGTGAGAGGAGGCGTAGAGGAGCACGGTGTCGGCAATTAAGGAAAATCCACGCCAGACCTTGCAGAAGGAGGAGGCGTGTGGAGTTCCGATGCCTGTGTGAGCCATGACTGGTGAGGGCCTCTGGGTAGCAGCTCATCTGGGCTACTTGGAAATGCAGATTCCTGGGCACAGACCTGAGAGGCCCTGGAGTGACCACCCTCCAGGGATTCCGCCCAAACTTGGCCATCTTGTCTTTTGTCAGATCACCCGTGCCCAGCTGTCTCATTGAGATGCCCGGCTATCACAGTTATCTGCACAGCTGGTGTGGGTGTGCCGATGGGTGTACGGGACTGGCCTATCTTCCTTTCTCCCCCTATGAAGTGTTTGAAGGTCTGTTATCCTACCCTGTTCTCTCCCTGTCCTCAGTGGGCAAGCAGGAGGTTCATTTTCACTTGCAGATGAGGAAAATTCTAAAAGTCTCATAAAGCAGGGAGGATCATCTTCAGAATCTTCTTTGTTCCAATCAGCTCTGATATTTTCAGTTGGAAAGACTTTTCCTCAAACACTTTGCATTCGTTCTGTATGAGAAGTGCTGTAGACTTTCCTGTTGTTTTAGTAATTAGGATCTGTTCTGTTGTCCATTACAAACGTATATATTTTCATTCTGAGACACGCTGAGTCAGTCTTTGCAGTCCAGAGGGATTCCATGTGCATTCATAGACGCTTCCATCAGAAACCACATGCCAAATAGCTGTGGACATACAACCTGCCTGTGACTTTGGGAATTGCCGAAGTCAAATTCTCTCTCGACTTGAGGCTTTAGGAGCTTTAGAAATCTTGAAATTATAAAACGAAGATGTGACAAAATTAAGTGTATGTCAAACAAAAGAGATACTATACTGCGGGTTTTAAGGGCTGTGGTACATTATTTGGTTATCTTTAAGGATGTCGTGTTCCACCCAAGTTACAAATACATGAAATTTAAATATAAGGTGACCCCTTCAGAACATCCTGCATTTGGTCTTGATCTTCTGCCCTTGAAAATGAGATTCTTTTTTTTTTCTTGAAAATGTAATTCTTTTTTTTTTTTTCTTGAAAATGTGATGGTCTTAAACTGTGTGTCTAGACCATCTCATCTGAATTGCTTTGGAAACATCTGCACGGGCATCTTTCTATTCTTGGGTGTAGAGAGAACGACATCATTATGCTTTAAAATAGCAAAAGTCCCGTAGAGCAGTTTTTCTTAAACTAATGAGCTATTGTTGGAAATCAAGGTGTGTAGCAAGTTATAGAATCTCTCAGTGAAAGTGATTATTTAAAATAGAAATCTTAGTTTTTAAAATAAAATGCTAATAGAGAACCTTTTGTTCACAAGAATCTAAAATGTTACGTCTTTGTTTAGAATTTAAGGATAGTAATTTGCTTCTGAGATCTTTGTGACTGAGATTTGAAATCTTAACTACGGTTTATCAATGTTTTATATATATGCATGTATGGATATATATATATATATGTAAGGTATATAAAACGAAAATAAGCATGCATGTATTTACATTTATATACCCTTCTATAATGTGTATACTTCTAGTCACACAGAGGTCTAAGTGACTATGACTTTATTTGATGACCAAGAGGATAATTAAATAATTTTCCTGCTCTTAGCCTTGCTTTTGCATCTGATCAGGGACCCTGCGAAGTGTGCCTCCCATGTTCCAGGCCTCACACAGCCCGTGCCAGGTTTTGGAAGCAGGAGTTTGTCTGCAGCCACTTCGGGAAGCAGGTGGTTGCCAGGATTGCCTAGAGCTCCAGGCTGTCTCCAGTCCAAGCCTCCCTGGGTAGAAGCTGCCCCACTAGGGGCCTGGACATGGATGTTGGGGCCTAGACATGGATGTTAGGGCCTGGAGCCAGGGACTGCTCCGGAAGAAGCCCTTCTGTCACTGCTGGGCATGAGAACCTAGGACAGGAGGTGGAACCAGCCTCGGGCCAGTGCACGGCCTCCCGGGAGTGCTTGCGGGAAGCCCCAACCACCCTTTCCTGACTCCAAAGCCAGCACCAAACTGTGAGATCCCCTTGGCCCACCCCTCAGGTTCCTAAAATGGTTAGGGTTTCCTGGGCTGTGAATTTTTAAGTCTAGGCTAAAAAGTCCTGGGACAGACTCACTGGGTTCTTCATGTAGAAACGACGAGGGTGCTGGTGACTCAGAGCAGGCACTGCACCTCACTCCAGGGTCCTTTGCGCCAGGTGGAAACGGGCATGTGGGTCACACAGAGTCCCTGTATCCTCGCTCCAGCCATTGCTCTTTGGTTTCTTAATTAATAAGCCTTGATAATGAAAATGTGTTCTCCCCAGAGTAGAGTTCCCGGTTACGGAGGCTCATCTGTAAATGCCGTGCCAGGTCACATATGCTGAGATCTGGGCCAGGTCCTGCTTCCTGCCCATGGCCAAGGCAGGTACTTCATTTGGGAGGTGACCCAGAGGGACATCTGAGAGGCCTGCCTGTCCCCGAAGGATGAAGCCGCTGGCCTTCACACTCTGCTCCGGCCTCCATCAGCTCCCTGCTATCTGCAAACTGCCTGCTTTTATGTTGCCATCGTTGGAGATATGTTAGGAACTTCGTATGGAGAAACCCCCTTAGGACGAGCAGATCGTGGAAAGGTGGGAACCAGGGCTGGGAGGGTGGTGACCACGGCCAAAATGAGAACCGCGGTGGGCTGGGAGGTCCATCTTCTGTCTAAAATGTTTTTTAAAATAGTGTCTCAGGAGCATGAGAGGGCAGGCCACAGACGAGGAGAACGTATCTGTAAAAGACTCATCTGATAAAGGCTGTTATCCAAACCGTGCAAGGAACACTCAAAACAAGAAAATGAACAACCTGATTAAAAATGGAAAAAAGACCTGGACAGATACCCCAACAAAGAAGATACACAGATGGCAAATCTACACGTGGAAAGATGGCCCGTGTCTTATGTTATAGGGCGAGGTGCCACTGCACACCCACCAGCCTGGTCAATACTGGAACTCCGACACGACCGTGAGCTGGTGGATGTGTGGGTGTCAGGACCGTCACTCGTCGCTGGGGGAAGTGGGGCAGCTGCTGTGGGAGGCAGCGTGGCGGTTTTCCATGGAACTAAGCAATCCGACCACAGGAGCAATCACAGTCCTGGACGTTCACTCAGAGGAGCTGAAAATTTACTTCCACGAGGAAATGTGCACACAGATGTTGACAGCAGCTTTATAGCTTTATTTACAATTGCCAAAACTAGAAAGCAACCAAGATGTGCTTCAGTAAGTGAACGGATAAACTGTGTTACGTCAGAAACTGGGATATTATTCAGCACTAAAAAGAACTGGACCACTAAGCCATGAAAAGACACGGATCTTAAACGCATGTTGCTAAGTGAGTCTCCAATCTGGAAAGGCTGCCTGCTGTGTGAGTCCAACCGCAGGGCAGTCTGGAAAAGGCAAAGCTGTGGAGACAGTAAAATGGTCAGAGGCTGCCAGGGGTTGGGGAAGGGAGGGATGAATGGGAGGAGCATAGGGGGATGTGTAGGTTGGGGAAGCAACTCCGGATGGGGCTTTCATGGGGGATCCATGCCGTTCCATGTCTGTGAAACCCACAGAGTGAGCAGCAGCAGGCCGAGCCCTCGTGGGAGCTGTGGACTCTGGGTGGTGGTGCCGCATTGATGCGGGTCTGTCGGTCATACAGAAGTGTGCTGCTCCGGTGGGGGCAGGAGAATGATGGAGACTCTGCCTGTGCTGGGGAAGGAGATAGATATGTGAGGACTCTGTACTTTCCTCCTGATTTTGCTGTGAACTGAAAACTGCTTTTAAAAACGTCTCTTGAAAAGGCAAACAAGAAAGAATGCTAGCCAAAGAGTGCTAGCCAGATAGCATCTGTGTGAGGGTGTGGCCTGTGTTCTACGTTCAGGATTTCCGTGTTAGAATACACATATCTGAATTACTCAGAAGTTAAACCTTTGCATTAAGTAACTCACTACAAAGTTACAGTATCAGCTTGAGCACTGCCAGGATCCTGTATCCTGACCAGCTTCTCCTCTTACAGGTGCAGTGACACCCACAGCCTCACCCCAGTGAGCAGCAGGGCTGGGACCAGGAGTCAGGCTTTGGGGGGCAGAGAGGAAGTGAGATCTGTAAGCCCGTGGCAGGGAGGAGCCCATGGCAGGGAGCCGGCATGGATGATTTTTTTTTTTTTTTGGCTAGTTTTCCTTATCACTGAGGCCTTCTTAGACTTGGGGAGTCGGGAGTCCCCACTTTCGGGCACCTCAGAAACCAAAGACTGCTCCTAATTCTCATGTTCCAGAT